CTTAAAGGAGACCTTAAGGGGCCCCGCTTTGGAGAACCTTTTAAATATTTTTTTGTATCTTGATGAATTTCTGTAATTAATGATCATTTTTTATATCAGTTACGTTTTCTCCTTCGTTATTGTGTTCATAGACTGTACCTGTTCACAATTTGTTGTATAATATGTTTATTAAAAGATAGAATGACAATGTCAGAGCTGCAAGAGACCTTGGAGATTATGTAACTCACTTATTTTCTAGGTGAAACTTAGGTTTGAAAGAAACAGTGACTTCTCTTCTCCAGGCTATAAGGTCTGAGCGCCTAGGTACTTGTTAAAATGACTTGAATAAATAAATTGGATCTTACAAGTCCTTTACTATCACAGCTGATGTTAACCAAGTACTTAGGCCCAGCTACTTGGGAGTCTGAGGCAGGTGGATCGCTCTAGCCTAGTAGTTTGAGGTTGCAGTGAGCTATGATGACACCACTGCACTCTAGCCCGGGCAACAGAGCAAGACCCTCTCTCAAAAAACAAAAACAAAACCCAAGTAGTCTTGTCCCCATCTAGTCTAGTATTCTTAGGCTCATACTTTTTGCCTTGAAGCTAGCTTTTCAAATTAAAGCAGTATGCAGTAGTCTTTCCAAAGTATGTTTTGTTCTGCTTAGTAATAAGATGAGTTATGGTTGTCAATTAATCAGATATAACTTCCTAAACCTGCTGCAAATAATCTAAACTAAAACGTCATCTGGTAGAGTGCTGTTCAGTTATACCAAACAAGTTAGTTCAGATCAATTTAGACATTTGACCTAATGAATAAAAGATACTGATAGCCCTAGAACAAAAAACATGGCTTATGAAATTTTTGCTTTCCTTTTTCTTTTTTGTTGTTAGCATTCTTTTACTGGATTTGATTTCTATTTCTCACTCTCTTTCTTTACATATATGTATATAAATACACTTTTTTTCCTGAACCATTTGCAAATAAGTTTCAGATATCATGACCTTTAACCCTAATTTCTACAGCATAGATCTCCTTGAGGTCATTCTATTACATAGCCTCAATAAGATTATCATATTTAATGTATTCGGATTTCCCCAATTATCCCAAAAATGCCTTTAATCTCAAAAATGTTTCTTTTTGATTCAGGATCCAATCAAGGTCTATAAATTGTGTTTAGTTGTCATGACTCTTTAGCTTCTTAATCTAGATCAGCCCCAAACCCCTTTTCTTTATGACGGACATTTTTTAAAAGACCAGCCCAGTCAATCCTACAAGTTATCCCATATTATAGAATTTCCTAATTATTCCCTCATGATCAGAGTCAGATAAACATTTTGGCAAGAATACCACATAGGTGATGCTGTATACCTTACTGCATCACACCATGAAACACCTAATGTTGAGAGCCATGTTTTATGATGCTAGGTTTAATCACTTAGCTTATAACATGTGTTTGGCTATTTGGAAAATGTTTTTAGGTCTTAGGGTATGAAGGGGAAAATACTGCATTTTGAAGTCTAAACACCTTTTACTTACTTAGTAGGCTCCAGCTGCCCAGTAAGTTTCTTGATATTTCTGAATCATCCCTCCTAGGATTATTAGGACAACCATAAGGGAAGTGTAATGTATAGTTACTACATGGAAAAATAAGGATAGCATGACAATATGTATTTTTTTAAAATATTAGTGTGCATGCTAAAGAATTTAACTTCAGAATAGATAGAGCAAACTCATTTCACTTAATAAAAGGATGAGGCTTTTTTTAAAAAAAACAATTTAGGCAATAGAAGTTTGGCTTTTATCAAAGACTATTAGAACTTGAATGGGTCTCAGTAGTCATGTTATAATACCCTCATTTTTCAGGTAAGAAACAGCCTCACTGGAGACATTCAAGAAAAAGTTGGACAACTTTTCCAGAACAGAAAGGAAACTCATGCATCAGAAAAGGTTTGAGCTTGATGGCTGATAAGATCTTCCTTTACTCTTAAGTTCCCTGGTTCTATGTTATATTTTGTTTGGCACAAAAATAACAGCATTGCTGTAATAATTCCCAAGATCTAAGCCAGGAACTCTCGAACTCTCTAATTCCTTCTTTCCCTCTCCAGGTTTCAGAGATATAACCAGAAGGTAACCCCTGATTGGATTTTTGCCTCTACAATAACAACATTTGTTATAATATCTGGAAACTAGGAACAAATAAGAGGACAACCACAATCCTACCTGTTCTCACCATCAGGTGGTCTATGTGGCTAATGGACTTTGTCAGTCATCATAACTTATGATTAAATTACTGCAAAATGAATGGTGAAAGATTTAAAAGACCTCAAACTAGCAAATAAATCTGAAAATCATTTATTCACTCAATTGTCTCCAGTATTTTCTAAGAACAATTGCCTACAATTCTGTGTACCATAATCTTGATATTGGTGCCTATAGAAAATAGCTTTGGAGATTTAAGCAGACTTAAGAAAACTGCTGACTGTTAGCTCTTGAGATTAATTGTAGGTGTGGAAAAATATTTAAAAATATAATCAAATGATTCTAGAGAAAAATCATAATGTTAATATTTAGTGGTTTTTGAATGATAGAACTATTTATCTTTTATTTAC